CACTCCCCCCCTACAATACCCCCACCCCCCACTCACCCCTCCCCACACTCCCCCCCCACTCCCCCCCTACAATACCCCCACTCACCCCTCCCCACACTCCCCCCCCACTCCCCCGCTACAACACCCCCACCCCCCACTCACCCCCTCCCCACACTCCCCCCCACTCCCCCCCTACCATACCCCCACCCCCCACTCACCCCTCCCCACACTCCCCCCCCACTCCCCCCCTACAATACCCCCACTCACCCCTCCCCACACTCCCCCCCCACTCCCCCCTACAATACCCCCACCCCCACTCACCCCTCCCCACACTCCCCCCCCCACTCCCCCCCTACAATACCCCCACTCACCCCTCCCCACACTCCCCCCCACTCCCTCCCCCCCCACCCCCCCCTACAATACCCCCACCCCCCCTCACCCCTCCCCCCACTCCCCCCCCACTCCCCCCTACAATACCCCCACTCACCCCTCCCCACACTCCCCCCCACTCCCCCCTACAAACACCCCCACCCCCACTCACCCTCCCCACACTCCCCCCCCCACTCCCCCCCTACAATACCCCCACTCACCCCTCCCCACACTCCCCCCCCCTCCCCCGCTACAACACCCCCACCCCCCACTCACCCCTCCCCACACTCCCCCCCACTCCCCCCCTACAATACCCCCACCCCCCACTCACCCCTCCCCACACTCCCCCCCCACTCCCCCCCCGCTACAATACCCCCACTCACCCCTCCCACACTCCCCCCCCCTCCCCCCCTACATACCCCCACCCCCCACTCACCCCTCCCCACACTCCCCCCCCACTCCCCCCCTACAATACCCCCACCCCCCACTCACCCCTCCCACACTCCCCCCCCACTCCCCCCCTACAATACCCCCACCCCCCACTCACCCCTCCCACCCCCTCCCCCCCCACTCCCCCCCTACAATACCCCCACCCCCCACTCCCCCTCCCCACACTCCCCCCCCACTCCCCCCCTACATACCCCCACCCCCCACTCACCCCTCCCCACACTCCCCCCCCACTCTCCCCCCTACAATACCCCACTCACACCCTCCCCACACTCCCCCCCCACTCCCCCCCTACAATACCCCCACCCCCCCACTCACCCTCCCCACACTCACCCCCCCACTCCCCCCCTACAATACCCCCACCCCCCACTCACCCCTCCCCACACTCCCCCCCCACGCATCCCCCCCTACAATACCCCCACTCACCCCTCCCCACACTCCCCCCCCAACTCCCCCCCCTACATACCCCCACCCCCCACTCACCCCTCCCCACACTCCCCCCCCACTCCCCCCCTACAATACCCCCACTCACCCCTCCCCACACTCCCCCCCCACTCCCCCCCTACAATAACCCCCACCCCCCCACTCACCCCTCCCCACACTCCCCCCCCCACTCCCCCCCTACAATACCCCCACCCCCCACTCACCCCTCCCCACACTCCCCCCCCACTCCCCCCCTACAATACCCCCACCCCCCACTCACCCCTCCCCACACTCCCCCCCCACTCCCCCCCTACAATACCCCCACTCACCCCTCCCCACACTCCCCCCCCTCCCCCGCTACAACACCCCCACCCCCCACTCACCCCTCCCCACACTCCCCCCCACTCCCCCCCTACAATACCCCCACCCCCCACTCACCCCTCCCACACTCCCCCCCCACTCCCCCCCTACAATACCCCCACTCACCCCTCCCCACACTCCCCCCCCCACTCCCCCCCTACAATACCCCCACCCCCCACTCACCCCTCCCCACACTCCCCCCCCACTCCCCCCCTACAATACCCCCACTCACCCCTCCCACACTCCCCCCCCACTCCCCCCCTACAATACCCCCACCCCCCACTCACCCCTCCCCACACTCCCCCCCACTCCCCCCTTACAATACCCCCACTCACCCCTCCCCACACTCCCCCCCCACTCCCCCCGCTACAACACCCCACCCCCCACTCACCCCTCCCCACACTCCCCCCCCACTCCCCCCCTACAATACCCCCACTCACCCCTCCCCACACTCCCCCCCCACTCCCCCGCTACAACACCCCCACCCCCCACTCACCCCTCCCCACACTCCCCCCCCACTCCCCCCCTACAATACCCCCACCCCCCACTCACCCCTCCCCACACTCCCCCCCCACTCCCCCCCTACAATACCCCCACTCACCCCTCCCCACACTCCCCCCCCACTCCCCCCCCTACAATACCCCCACCCCCACTCACCCCTCCCCACACTCCCCCCCCCACTCCCCCCCTACAATACCCCCACCCCCCACTCACCCCTCCCCCACTCCCCCCCACTCCCCCCCTACAATACCCCCACCCCCCACTCACCCCTCCCCACACTCCCCCCCCCACTCCCCCCCTACAATACCCCCACTCACCCCTCCCCACACTCCCCCCCCCACTCCCCCCGCTACAACACCCCCACCCCCCACTCACCCCTCCCCACACTCCCCCCCCACTCCCCCCCTACAATACCCCCACCCCCCACTCACCCCTCCCCACACTCCCCCCCCCACTCCCCCCCTACATACCCCCACCCCCCCACTCACCCCTCCCACACTCCCCCCCCACTCCCCCCCTACAATACCCCCACTCACCCCTCCCCACACTCCCCCCCCACTCCCCCGCTACAACACCCCCACCCCCCACTCACCCCTCCCCACACTCCCCCCCCACTCCCCCCCTACAATACCCCCACCCCCCACTCACCCCTCCCCACACTCCCCCCCCACTCCCCCCTACAATACCCCCACCCCCCACTCACCCCTCCCCACACTCCCCCCCCACTCCCCCCCTACAATACCCCCACTCACCCTCCCCACACTCCCCCCCCACTCCCCCGCTACAACACCCCCACCCCCCACTCACCCCTCCCCACACTCCCCCCCCACTCCCCCCCTACAATACCCCCACCCCCCACTCACCCCTCCCCCACACTCCCCCCCCACTCCCCCCCTACAATACCCCCACCCCCCACTCACCCCTCCCCACACTCCCCCCCCACTCCCCCCCTACAATACCCCCACTCAACCCTCCCCACACTCCCCCCCCCACTCCCCCGCTACAACACCCCCACCCCCCACTCACCCCTCCCCACACTCCCCCCCCCCACTCCCCCCTACAATACCCCCACTCACCCCTCCCCACACTCCCCCCCCACTCCCCCCCTACAATACCCCCACCCCCCACTCACCCCTCCCCACACTCCCCCCCCACTCCCCCCTACAATACCCCCACTCACCCCTCCCCACACTCCCCCCCCCACTCCCCCCCTACAATACCCCCCACCCCCCACTCACCCCTCCCCACACTCCCCCCCCACTCCCCCCCTACAATACCCCCACCCCCCACTCACCCCTCCCCACACTCCCCCCCCAACTCCCCCCTAACAATACCCCCCCCCCCACTCCACCCCTCCCCACACTCCCCCCCCCACTCCCCCCCTACCAATACCCCACTCACCCCTCCCCCACCCCCCCCCCACACTCCCCCCCTACACACTCCCCCACCCCCACTCACCCCCTCCCCACACTCCCCCCCCACTCCCCCACCTACAATACCCCCCACCCCCCACTCACCCCTCCCCACACTCCCCCCCCACTCCCCCCCCTACATACCCCCACCCCCCCACTCACCCCTCCCCACACTCCCCCCCCCACTCCCCCCCTACATACCCCCAACTCACCCCTCCCCACACTCCCCCCCCACTCCCCCGCTACAAACACCCCCACCCCCCACTCACCCCTCCCCACACTCCCCCCCCCACTCACCCCCTACAATACCCCACCCCCCCACTCACCCCTCCCCACACTCCCCCCCACTCCCCCCCTACAATACCCCCACCCCCACTCACCCCTCCCCACACTCCCCCCCACTCCCCCCCTACAATACCCCACTCACCCCTCCCACACTCCCCCCCCACTCCCCCGCTACAACACCCCCACCCCCCACTCACCCCTCCCCACACTCCCCCCCCCACTCCCCCCCTACAATACCCCCACCCCCCACTCACCCCTCCCCACACTCCCCCCCCACTCCCCCCCTACAATACCCCCACCCCCCACGCACCCCTCCCCACACTCCCCCCCCACTCCCCCCCTACAATACCCCCACTCACCCCTCCCCACACTCCCCCCCCACTCCCCCGCTACAACACCCCCACCCCCCACTCACCCCTCCCCACACTCCCCCCCCACTCCCTCCCTACAATACCCCCACCCCCCACTCACCCTCCCCACACTCCCCCCCCACTCCCCCCCTACAATACCCCCACCCCCCCACTCACCCCTCCCCACACTCCCCCCCCCACTCCCCCCCTACAATACCCACACCCCCCACTCACCCTCCCCACACTCCCCCCCACTCCCCCCCTACAATACCCCCACTCACCCCTCCCCACACTCCCCCCCCACTCCCCCGCTACAACACCCCCACCCCCACTCACCCCTCCCCACACTCCCCCCCCCACTCACCCCCTACAATACCCCCACCCCCCACTCACCCCTCCCCACACTCCCCCCCCACTCCCCCCCTACAATACCCCCACCCCCCACTCACCCTCCCCACACTCCCCCCCCACTCCCCCCCTACAATACCCCCACTCACCCCTCCCCACACTCCCCCCCCACTCCCCGCTACAACACCCCCACCCCCACTCACCCCTCCCCACACTCCCCCCCCCACTCCCCCCCTACAATACCCCCACCCCCCACTCACCCTCCCCACACTCCCCCCCCACTCCCCCCTACAATACCCCCACCCCCCACTCACCCCTCCCACACTCCCCCCCCACTCCCCCCCTACAATACCCCCACTCACCCCTCCCCACACTCCCCCCCCACTCCCCCGCTACAACACCCCCACCCCCCACTCACCCCTCCCCACACTCCCCCCCACTCCCCCCTACAATACCCCCACCCCCCACTCACCCCTCCCCACACTCCCCCCCCACTCCCCCCCTACAACACCCCCACCCCAATGACGTCACCTCCCTGACTGCAATGGCCGCTGTAGCCTCATAACGCTCGAAACAAGCGCGTCACTCGTGAAGCATTTCACGCAAATTATTCACTAAAACGAATTTGAAAAGGAGAATTTTTTTTGTTAATACGACATCACAACAATGTGAATATCTATTAGACGTTTTATTGTTGTGTAAACAAACAATATCTGTTGGCAGGCACCACACAAGGGGGGGGGGGGGTCTCGGTGTGTGACGCCGCCTCGCGTTGTGAGCGACTCCGCGAGGCTTCGTCTCGGCAGCTTCCAGTTGGACTCCGGGTAAGGGGCGCCATTCCCTCAAACCCCCCCAACATCACCAACATCACCACCAACATCACCACCAACATCATCACCAACATCACCACCACCAACACCAACATCATCATCACCAACATCATCACCACCAACACCAACATCACCACCAACATCATCACCAACATCACCACCAACATCACCACCAACATCACCACCAACATCATCACCAACATCATCACCAACATCACCACCAACATCACCACCAACATCACCAACATCACCACCAACATCATCACCAACATCATCAACACCAACATCACCACCAACATCATCACCAACATCACCACCAACATCATCACCAACATCATCACCTACATCATCAACACCAACATCACCACCAACATCATCACCAACATCATCACCAACATCACCACCAACATCATCACCAACATCATCACCAACATCATCAACACCAACATCACCACCAACATCATCAACACCAACATCACCACCAACATCATCACCAACATCATCAACACCAACATCATCACCAACATCATCAACACCAACATCACCACCAACATCATCACCAACATCACCACCAACATCATCAACACCAACATCACCACCAACATCATCAACACCAACATCACCACCAACATCATCACCAACATCATCAACACCAACATCACCACCAACATCATCACCAACATCACCACCAACATCATCAACACCAACATCACCACCAACATCATCAACACCAACATCACCACCAACATCATCACCAACATCATCAACACCAACATCACCACCAACATCATCAACACCAACATCACCACCAACATCATCACCAACATCACCACCAACATCATCACCAACATCATCACCAACATCACCACCAACATCATCACCAACATCATCAACACCAACATCACCACCAACATCATCACCATCATCAACACCAACATCACCACCAACATCACCCCCCAACATCACCAACATCATCACCAACATCATCACCAACATCATCACCAACATCACCACCAACATCACCACCAACATCATCACCAACATCACCACCAACATCACCACCAACATCATCACCAACATCACCACCAACATCACCACCAACATCATCACCAACATCACCACCAACATCACCACCAACATCACCCCCCAACATCATCACCAACATCACCCCCCAACATCATCACCAACATCACCACCAACATCATCACCAACATCACCACCAACATCATCACCAACATCACCACCAACATCACCACCAACATCACCACCAACATCATCACCAGCATCACCCCCAACATCATCACCAACATCACCAACATCATCACCAACATCACCACCAACATCACCACCAACATCACCCCCAACATCATCACCAACATCACCACCAACATCATCACCAACATCACCACCAACATCATCACCAACATCACCACCAACATCACCCCCCAACATCACCACCAACATCACCAACATCATCACCAACATCACCACCAACATCATCACCAACATCACCACCAACATCACCACCAACATCATCACCAACATTACCACCAACATCATCACCAGCATCACCCCCAACATCATCACCAACATCACCACCAACATCACCCCCCAACATCATCACCAACATCACCCCCCAACATCATCACCAACATCACCACCAACATCACCAACATCACCAACATCACCACCAACATCATCACCAACATCACCACCAACATCATCACCAACATCACCACCAACATCACCCCCCAACATCATCACCAACATCACCAACAACATCATCACCAGCATCACCCCCAACATCATCATCACCACCAATTAGCCGACTCCGAGTGAATCTCTCGGAGTCCCTCTGAATGTTGCATCCGAGGCGCCAGAGAGACGAGCTCGCACGACATCGCGCTGAGCGATCATTCATTTGCCGAACATCATCATCGCCCTCCTGGCCAGAGGAACGTGGAGTTGCCGCTGGCGTGGATAAGGAACGATTGTGGAGATGGTGGCTGCCCGGAGCGCGGTCTTTTAGCCGAGGGGTTATGCTGTTGCAACAATCAGACGAGTTGAAATTAATGAGTGTGTCATAATAAACAGCAGCAGCAGCAGCAACATTACTAGCACTTAGTACAACATAGCTGACGATATCATCATCATCATCAGTGATGTATCATCAGTGATGTCTCATCGGCTCTTCAAATATTTATCTATCGTGCCGTTTGTGGCTGGTCGCATGGCGTTTTGGGCCTTCGGGCCTGTGCTCGGCAAATAAAATAACCATCATCATCTTCATCATTTACTCGGACCTCATGGCTATCGTGGTCCTTTGTTAAACGTTATTATACTTTGCCTGTGGATATCAGAGCTCCCGTCACAGTAACGTGGAACTCCCACCGCGCCATAAATACTAGTTGTGTGGGCAGTAGTCGCGCTGCCCAGCGCCTCTGCGCGTTAGAGGACACAGTGGGTTTGTACATACTACAGGGGCTTTTTGTGGGGTTGATATTGGTCGCGAAAGCCTCCGTGTTACACTGACGGTGCTTTGTGTTGCTAAGACTTCCTGGTGTGCTTGGGTCATCACCCATCACCCGCAGAGACAACAGCGGGGTCGTGAGCAGTCGTCGCAATCGCGTTGTTCTCAGTGGCCAGTGCTGGACCATCACGGCTGAGATGTCTGGAGTTGAATCTCTGTGTTCGAACCGGTCCGTCTCGTGTCGCAGTGAGTCTAGAGTCTCTTTCCCGGCCCTCTTAATGATTCGCACAGAGACCCCCAGGCTTCAAGACGCCCCTAGTCTCACATAGAGACCCCCAGATTTAAAGACGCCCCTAGTCTCACATAGAGACCCACAGGCTTCAAGACGCCCCTAGTCTCACAGAGACCCACAGGCTTCAAGACGCCCCTAGTCTCACATAGAGACCCACAGGCTCGATTGGGGAGCCACTGATACATATATAGACCCATATTTTGACAGAGGCCTGTTGTTTCACATATAAATCCTTAGTTTCACATAGAAGTCCATAGACTCGCATAGAGACGCATAGACTCACATATGTGACCCATAGACTCGCATAGAGACCCACAGACTGGCATAGATACCCATAGACTCACATCGAAACCCATCGACTCACAGAGACCCATAGACTCGCATATAAATCCATAGTTTCACAAAGAGGTCCATATACTCAAAGAAAGACCCATAGCCTTACATAGAGACCCATAGTCTTGCATAGAAACCCATAGACTCGCATATAAACCCATAGACTCACAGAGACCCATAGTCTCACTGAGGTCAACAGCCTCACATAGACGTATTGACTCGCGTAGAAAGCCATAGACTCACAGAGACCCATAGTCTCACTGAGGTCAACATTCTCACATAGACGTATAGACTCACGTAGAAAGCCATAGTCTCACAGAGACCCATAGACTCACAGAGACCCATAGTCTCAGATAGAGACCCACAGGCTCTGAGACCAATTTGTGGTTAAACCGAGTTCTCAATCCAGCCCCCCATCGCCAATGACTGCACACAAAAATGGCCTCATCACGTGAAATTTGGTTTCTACGCTTAATTATGAATATCGGTTTGGCTGTCATGTCACGGGGATATCTGTCAGCCCCGTGATGTGTGAATGAGAGGTCGCTTGAAAATATTTTCGGAAGCAGTTCTGTGTCATCTCCTTCCGTGGGCCATTCTCTTAACGCGGGGGGGGGGGGGGGATGCATTGGCCTCTGAGAGCATTATGATTGGTTGCTTTAGCCTCATGACATCATGCTGATTGCACCCTCGGGATAGAATTGCGAGCAGAAGACAAACTACATAGTCATGAACAGTATTTCTTCTATAAGAAGGTAAAGTGTAAGCTATCATTGTTGGTCTCAGACCAAACACCCGGACTGCACTCATTAGCTATTAGATGCTAAGCCTGGATGTATGCACAAGGTGCTTCAAAACAATGTTAACACTTATAAGAATTTGCAACAGAAATATGCTTCTGGACTCTGGAGACCACCTGTAGAAGATTCCAGGCACGTGTTGACAATGATGGCGTAACAAGTGGAGACTTTAAATTTTTTAAGCTATTAACATCACATTTGTTATCATGTCACAGTGTATTATCCGTTCTTTTTCCATTAAAAACGATTGTCCCATATAAGTTAACATTTATTTGAAGCACCCTGTATTGATCTTGAACTTTTTTCACACCGTGCATAGTCAACCGTGCTAATCGGAGATGCGGGGATAGGGTTGATCCTGACAATTTCCCTGCAAGGTTGAAGACCATGCATAGTTAAGTGCTGTACTATACCTCTATGCTCCTGCCTTCACCAGCCCGCACTGACCCGCGTGGTGAATTATGGCCGTATAATCTACCACGGTCCGCAAAGCGTGGCAGGGCTCTCATCCAGCAGTGGATTGGCTCCAGGGCTGTGGATGTCGATGGGCACTTGGGGAAAAGAGACGGTGGGAGGGAGATTTAATGGACGATCGGCGGGATCGATACCCCGGAAATTGTCAGTGAATTGATATTTAGCAGTGAAAGTTGTTGTGCTTATTTATTAATGCAGGACCACCCACCACACTTTTTGGAAGTTTCTAGACCCGCCTCTGGAGGAAGATAAATGCTTTGCTCTGTAATAATGGTAGCTTAACAAACTCCCCTTTCGCCTGCCTTCCCCATCATTAACTCCATAACTCTTTTTCCCAACCTCCCTACCAATTCATCATCGTGCTTACTCATCATTAACCACTCATTGTTTATTTCATGCATCGTCGTCATATTCACGTAACTACCATCCTTCGAATCAACTCATCTCATCGCACCACGCTCTTCTGCCTTACAAACAGTTCGATTCTTTGTTCAGCGCCTTGGTCCAGAGGTGTGGACTCGAGTCATGTGACTTGGACTCGAGTCAGACTCGAGTCATGAATTTGATGACTTCAGACTCGACTTGGACTTGCATAACAATGACTTTGCCCCACCTCTGAGGTGTGGACTCGAGTCATGTGACTTGGACTCGAGTCAGACTCGAGTCATGAATTTGATGACTTCAGACTCGACTTGGACTTGCATAACAATGACTTTGTCCCACCTCTGAGGTGTGGACTCGAGTCATGTGACTTGGACTCGAGTCAGACTCGAGTCATGAATTTGATGACTTCAGACTCGACTTGGACTTGCATAACAATGACTTTGTCCCACCTCTGAGGTGTGGACTCGAGTCATGTGACTTGGACTCGAGTCAGACTCGAGTCATGAATTTGATGACTTGAGACTCGACTTGGACTTGCATAACAATGACTTTGTCCCACCTCTGAGGTGTGGACTCGAGTCATGTGACTTGGACTCGAGTCAGACTCGAGTCATGAATTTGATGACTTCAGACTCGACTTGGACTTGCATAACAATGACTTTGTCCCACCTCTGAGGTGTGGACTCGAGTCATGTGACTTGGACTCGAGTCAGACTCGAGTCATGAATTTGATGACTTCAGACTCGACTTGGACTTGCATAACAATGACTTTGCCCCACCTCTGAGGTGTGGACTCGAGTCATGTGACTTGGACTCGAGTCAGACTCGAGTCATGAATTTGATGACTTCAGACTCGACTTGGACTTGCATAACAATGACTTTGTCCCACCTCTGAGGTGTGGACTCGAGTCATGTGACTTGGACTCGAGTCAGACTCGAGTCATGAATTTGATGACTTCAGACTCGACTTGGACTTGCATAACAATGACTTTGTCCCACCTCTGAGGTGTGGACTCGAGTCATGTGACTTGGACTCGAGTCAGACTCGAGTCATGAATTTGATGACTTCAGACTCGACTTGGACTTGCATAACAATGACTTTGTCCCACCTCTGAGGTGTGGACTCGAGTCATGTGACTTGGACTCGAGTCAGACTCGAGTCATGAATTTGATGACTTCAGACTCGACTTGGACTTGCATAACAATGACTTTGTCCCACCTCTGAGGTGTGGACTCGAGTCATGTGACTTGGACTCGAGTCAGACTCGAGTCATGAATTTGATGACTTCAGACTCGACTTGGACTTGCATAACAATGACTTTGTCCCACCTCTGAGGTGTGGACTCGAGTCATGTGACTTGGACTCGAGTCAGACTCGAGTCATGAATTTGATGACTTGAGACTCGACTTGGACTTGCATAACAATGACTTTGTCCCACCTCTGCCTTGGTCGAGGTGCTATATGAATAAAAATGGGATTATCTAACGATGAGAGGAAACGGTCACTCGGATCGAATGAGTCTCCGGGGCGAACGCCACGTTGCCTCAAGCGTGGCACACCGCAGCAGCAGCAGCCTCTCCCTCGTCTGCTCTCACCCATCTAGGGCCTGGCCCAGGCTGCGCTTGGCGGGGAGGCGATGCCAAAGAAGTTCTCCACCGAGAACGCCAAGGCGGCAGCGGCCCGCGTCCGCAAGGAGGAGGCCAAGGCGGTCGCCACGGCCACGAAGCAGAAGGAGGTGGAGGATGCCCTCTGGGTGGAGGATGACAAGAACGTGCTCAAGAAGGAGCAGCGCAAAGTGCGTGACGCGCGGTGACGCGCCGCTGTTTTCCACGATGCCCCATTGCGATTGTCGCACGGTCGGATTCGTAGGGTCGTGAGAGGTTGGCGGCAGCTTTGGGGAGGCCTACATCCAACAGTGGAGCGATGATGGCCGATGATGATGATGTTGATGATGATGAAATAACATGTATTTCACCTTTTTTACGTCGCGACTTTGTGCTTCGATGTACTTGAAATGTGGGTTTTTGGCGAGATACATTTAATTTGTTTCAGCAGGAAGGGCCCCTATTAGTTGCTCAGGCTCTGCTTCATGGGCGTCCTGGGGTTTACTTAAAAGTGAATCCCCACAGCAGTCGACTGGATGTAAGCCAGCCAGACGAGCCTTGATGGAAACGGGCCGTGCGCCAGAGAGGCTCTCTGGAGCTCTCCCGAGCGGCGATGGTGAGCAACCAATTGTGGGGGACTTGCACCTTGAACCGATGCCGTATGCTGGGGCCCCTTGCGATGCGTCGGTTCAAAGTGGATTCTCACGTGAGGTGGCCAGGTGACTCGGGGGGGGGGGGGGGTTAGGGTGCAAAAATTGGTTCCACTCAGAATTCTCGATTTGTATCCAGGCGGCCTCCTGTGGTCTTGCTAACTCTGTCGGGTCTCCAAACTCTCAAAAAGTCACCGGGTATCGCTGGACGGACTTTCTGTAGTTTTCAGAAATGTTACGAGACAATTAACCGAGTATTAAAGGTAATCCACCGACACAGGATTCTTTATCCAAACCTGAGTCCGCTACTAAATCTTGCGTAATGTCTACGGCTCAGAAAGTCTCTGAATTATTTTTGCTTTGACATTTTTATCGCGGGGAAACTCAGAAAGTCGCTAACTACAGCGACAGCATCGCTGAGTTGGCAACACGGGTCGCCTGTGATTAAACCGAGTTGGCAAATGTATTGTGCCTGCAGTTTCCGCTGTACTGGCAATTGACTCACGAAGGGACACTTCTGTCACGACTCTGCAGTCGGTCACCATTACCATTCCTCCTGATCATGTCCTCGTACCGTAGTTGTTAGTCTTTATTCTTTGTCAAGGTTCATTCTGTGTTTATCGCACGATCTTTATAAGAAATGTAAAGAATTCTCCAGAAAGAATTAGTTTTGAGGGCAGCGAATCTGCTTTTGCCTTCTCTTGTATGTTCGGAGGAACCACCGAGATATGTGTAGTCGTTAATATCGAGTTTCTATCTGATTGGTTGTTGCCGTGATGTCGTGAGACCTGTTTCAGAAAGCGGGGTCAGGTGACACGGGTTCTTCTTACTTCCTGGATCTTGTCCTGACTGGATCTTGTCCTGAAGATGCTTGACGTAGTGTCTAGCGAAATGCAACGTATCTGATCATTCAACCTTGTTTAGTGATCACTATCACTATCAGCGTGCGTTGTTTAACGCTTGTAAACGTGACGATTTAATTTGGTTTGCTGTGTCGGGTGGTGGAGGGTCTTATAACAAATTTGGCCGGATCATTACGTGGCCTAGCCTCAAAAAATCGATTTCGAATTGTAGCATTTGCTGCGAAAACCCACGGCAACGTATCCCGTTAATTCGAGGATTTCACTCTTGAAGATGCCGAGGGCTTTGAAGCCGACGTGTCGACGACACCGATTACATTTGCGGCTGAACAATCTTCAGGGCAGCTCGTGGAAACCACGCGACCGCTCGCCGCGATGAATCGGCGGCCTTCTTCGAAGGGGCCCTCGTTACGGATGCTTGGAGCCGCACCCCTGCGGGTGTCACCAAACAACTAATAAGCCTCCGTCGCGCGTCCGTCCCCCCTTCCCCCGCGCAACGCGCAGGTGGAGCGCGAGAAGAAGCGCTTGGAGCAGGTGGAGCGCAAGAAGGAGGCCCAGCGGCTGTTGGACGAGGAGCAGGCCAGCCTGAAGGGCCGCGCCGCCAAGCAGGCGGCGGCCGCGGCGGCGGCGGCGGCGGGCGGCGGCAAAGTGACGCGAGCGCAGATCGGCGAGACGCTCAAGCGCGAGCAGGAGGAGCGCGCCGCCAACGGGGGGTCGGACGGCGAAGGTGAAGGGCGCCCGCTGCGACGGCCACGCTTAGCGCCATTACGATGGGAACAACAACAACGACGCTGTAGGCTACATCGCACGCATCTCGTGTCAAAAATTTGAAGGGGCTCTTCCCCCCCCTCCCAGTGGCAGCTGTCTCTGCGCACCACAAGGTGACTCGTCACCTGGCTTGCGAGTGGGCATTAGTCTGCCGGTAAGGGCTGTTAATGATGATGATGATTGCGTAATCCCAATGGAGTCATTTGCGATGTCATTATTTTCAAATTTGATCAATTTGGACCCGTGAGGCCACCACACAAAGGCCTACTCCTTTCTGAATTACATCAGTGACTGGACATCTGTGGAAAAAGAGCTTTAATGCTCATCCAGTATACATTTAGATTCTGATTCTGTAATTACCAACAGATTTTAAACATCCACTGTGATGCAGGCGTCACATAGTCGTTCATGGTTAATACAACAAAGTTTCATCAGGGGAGCTGTCAGATGTGAACCACTAATGCTGGGCCACATCGCTGCCCTATACCAATAATAATGCTGAACTGAATTGCCACGTGGGAGCGGAACGTCAGACATCATGCCGAACAACTCGCGGTCACGTGATAACGGTCATGATGATGCCAGATGGAAGTCGCCGGATGGCTCGGAGGTCAAATCGTTGAGCTGGCACCGTCAGTTATTAGTGAGTTGATGGTACGAGCCTGGTCACCCACCCATATTGTACATAGATACTCAGACTACGTAGAGACCCTGTAGACCGACAGAGAGACGCATAGGCACACACACAGGCTGAGTTGTGATTAAACCGGGTTCTAAAGTGTGGTGAGTTAATTGGTGTCAGCCCGGTCAGCAGCGACTTGTGCAGATACCAAAAGGCTGGCGCAGAGAATCTACCCGTAGACTTCCATACGACCCACACACTTTTAAAGCAACTCACAGACTTACAGAGAGACCTATCGTCTCACAGAAACCACAGGCGAGCATATGAACCCATATTGCCACACAGACTGAGTTATTATGAAATCGATTTCTCAGTTGTAGTCGGTTGATGGTCTTGGCCTGGCCACTGATGCCTACAAAGACACACGGCACTGAAGTTGCCCATATTCCAGCTTTGAGAATTTAGCATCAGTTTGGCTGTCGTGCATCTGATGGCAGTGCGACAAACATTGCCATCGGTTGCAGTCGTGGATTGGAAAAGTTTATTGAGAAAACGTCTCGCTGAAGGTGAGTAGGGGTGAGGCTAGGAGGCAAATTATAATTCGCATGATCTCATCGGCTAATGCCTGCGTGTGCTGACCTGCATGGACTACCAACACCGCTCAGAATGAGTTTGTGTCTCTGTATGTACGGATGCTGAGCTCCTTTTGCACCGTACGTAGCCAACCAGGCTGGTCGGAGGTGCAGTGACAAATGCCATTTTATTCACTGTATGATGATTCCTAAATGAACCATACCATTTAACCTGGAGCATCCTTGCAAATAAGACCCAAGTTTCATATTATTTTAACAGAATATTTAAAAAAGTCATTACTTCCCGGTAAAATACAGTTTGTTTAACACGTAGGTTTTCGCGACCAAAATCTTCCATAAGAGGTTTTTTGGTTTAGATCGCGTACTCAGATTGTAAATGTTGTGGCTTGGCTCTCCAACACATCGCCGTGCTGTACTAGTGACGAATTGGCCACGTTCTGTTTACGTGACAACCCTTACTAGTTGGCTGTGTCGGGTGGTGGCGGGTTTAACAACATATTTACGCGATCTAACCCAAAACAACCTCTATTGTGGAAAATACAGTAGTACTACAACGGATGCAGCTGCGGTGTCACGGTTAGTGCACTGGACTTTCTCCGGTCGATTTGGGAATCGATTTAGAAGTCGCCGTTTCTATTCCATCTCCCGGCCCGGCAGTACAAACAATAGTGCAGGTTTCTTAAACTTCCCCCCCCCCCATAATCATCCTCACCGCCTCGGTCCACTCAGCAGTCTGATTGGGTTCACCCAAGGTCAATTTGGCAGGTCGGCGCATGTGGTGGGGTAAAGCATGGGTACGCCCACCTCTTACAGGACGCCCGGTCTGCGTGCAATATTAGCCCAAATCCCAAATACTTAAAACTAAACTGTTATTTTACCAGGTAAGGCACACTGAGCTATGTAGTTCTTTGTCAGACGCGACCGGGCGTCAAGTGATAGCTCCACGTCGTGGCTTACCAGCAGCCAAATATTCTAAACGCAGCAGCCAAATGCGGAGGGGAAAACCGGAGGACCTGGAGAAAAATCCACGCCACCACGGGGAGAGAGAGAGACCTGCAATCTCCAAATATACAGCAGTCGTCAGGGTCGGGATTGAATCCACGACCTCCTGCATATCAGGCCCCAGGTAGTAAACATCTTGCCACCACGGCGCCCTCGAGTGCTCCCTCGAGCGGAGAGGCCCCCTTCCGCCAGCAGCCGCGTGAGCGATCGAGAGCAATTGCAGGGCTGCGCCTTTAACCTTTTGAGCCGAGCAACGTGGGCGAACATACCATGCCGTGCCGTGCCCTAGCGCCCCCACCACCGCTGTGTCGTTTGAACGTCTCGCGCGTGGCAAGCGGAGTGGTCGTTAACAACAACAATAACAACAACAACAATCGCAACAGAATCGTTGACCGGGCAACTCGACGCTTGGGAACGGGAGAGGAGGGGAGGTGGGGGGGAGGTGGGGGGGGCGACCCGATCTCTGAAACCCGGTCACCGGCTTGGCGGTGTTGCGTTGCCGTTTTGCCCGAGCCGCCCGCGTTGCCGACGCTCGCCTTCCCCCATGCAGGCGGCGTCGCGGGCAAGGGGGTGACTCAAGCCGACCAGCCGCTGGAGGAGAACATCAACCGGCTGGTGGCCGCCGACGACGCGGTGGAGGCCCGGTCCGTGGACGACGCCATCGCGGCCCTCAGGTACGTCGCTCCGCGGCTCGCCTGTTCTTCGCCGGAGGTCGTGATGGGTTCCATCCCGACCCTGATGCCTGCTGCTGTATATTTGGAGTTTGCGTGTCTCTCTTCTTGTGGATTTTTCTCCGGGTCTCTTCGGTTTTTCCCTCCGCATGTAAAATATTTGGCTGCTATAAATTCCCACGTGATCAGCCGCCGCTTCGTCGAGCTATCACTTGTGGCCATGTCGCTTCTGACAAAGAGCTACACATCGCTCAGTGGGCCTTACCTGGTAAAATAAAAAGATGTAGTTTTAGTCTCTCTACAGCCCCCTCGGTTTCATTTGTTCACGTTCGATTCCCCGCGAGGAAAGCCTCACGGAGTCTCTTATTTCAGGAGGGTCCTGCAGTAGGGGGCGGCACATACAAACTCCACTCACATTCACTCTGTATAACAGGGGGAGATCATACAAACTCCACTCACTCTGCAGAACAGGGGGAGAACATACAAACTCCATTCACTCTCACTCCACAGAACAGGGAGAGATCATACAAACTCCACTCACTCTGTAGAACAGGGGGAGATCATACAAACTCCATTCACTCTCACTCCACAGAACAGGGAGAGATCATACAAACTCCACTCACTCTGTAGAATAGGGGGAGATCATACAAACTCCATTCACTTTCACTCCACAGAACAGGGAGAGATCATACAAACTCCACTCACTCTGTAGAACAGGGGGAGATCATACAAACTCTACTCACTCTCACTTTGTAGAACAGGAGGAGATCATACAAACTCCACTCACTCTCACTCTGCAGAACAGGAGGAGATCATACAAACTCCACTCACTCACTCTGCAGAACAGGGGGAGATCACACAAACTCCACTCACTCTCACTCTGCAGAACAGGGGGAGATCATACAAACTCCACTCACTCTCACTCTGCAGAACAGGGGGAGATCATACAAACTCCACTCACTCTGCAGAACACGGGGAGATCATACAAACTCCACTCACACTCACTCTGTAGAGCAGGGGGAGATCATACAAACTCCACTCACTCACTCTGTAGAACAGGGGGAGATCATACAAACTCCATTCACTCTCACTCTGTAGAACAGGGGGAGATCATACAAACTCCACTCACTCTGTATAACAGGGGGAGATCATACAAACTCCACTCTCTCACTCTGTAGAACAGGAGGAGACCATACAAACTCCACTCACTCACTCACTCTGTATAACAGGGGGAGATCATACAAACTCCACTCTCTCACTCTGTAGAACAGGAGGAGACCATACAAACTCCACTCACTCACTCACTCTGTATAACAGGGGGAGATCATACAAACTCCACTCTCTCACTCTGTAGAACAGGAGGAGACCATACAAACTCCACTCACTCACTCTGTATAACAGGGGGAGATCATACAAACTCCACTCTCTCACTCTGTAGAACAGGAGGAGACCATACAAACTCCACTCACTCACTCTGTAGAACATGGGGAGATCATACAAACTCCACTCACTCTCACGCTGTAGAACAGGAGGAGACCATACAAACTCCACTCACTCACTCACTCTGTATAACAGGGGGAGATCACACAAACTCCACTCACTCACTCTGTAGAACATGGGGAGATCATACAAACTCCACTCACTCTCACTCTGTAGAACAGGAGGAGATTATACAAACTCCACTCACTCTCACTCTGTAGAACAAGGGGAGATCATACAAACCTCACTCACTCTGTATAACAGGGGGAGATCATACAAACTCCACTCACTCTCACTCTGTAGAACAGGGGGAGATCATACAAACTCTACTCACTCACGCTGTATGACAGGGGGAGATCATACAAACTCTACTCACTCTCACTCTGCAGAACAGGGGGAGATCATACAAACTCCACTCACTCACTCTGCAGAACAGGGGGAGATCATACAAACTCCACTCTCACTCTGTATAACAGGGGGAGATCATACAAACTCCACTCACTCACTCTGCAGAACAGGGGGAGATCATACAAACTCCATCCACTCACTCACTCTGCAGAACAGGGGGAGATCATACAAACTCCACTCACTCTGTAGAACAGGGGGAGATCATACAAACTCCACTCACTCTGTAGACTAGGGGGAGATCACACAAACTCCACTCACTCTCACTCTGTATAACAGGGGGAGATCACACAAACTCCACTCACTCACTCTGCAGAACAGGGGGAGATCACACAAACCCCACTCACTCTGCAGAACAGGGGTAGATCACACAAACTCCACTCACTCACTCTGTAGAACAGGGGGAGATCATACAAACTCCACTCACTCACTCTGCAGAACAGGGGGAGATCACACAAACTCCACTCACTCACTCTGCAGAACAGGGGGAGATCATACAAACTCCTCTCACTCTGCAGAACAGGGGTAGATCATACAAACTCCTCTCACTCTGCAGAACAGGGGTAGATCATACACACTCCACTTACTCTCACTCTGCAGAACAGGGGGAGATCACACAAACTCCACTCACTCACTCTGCAGAACAGGGGGAGATCATACAAACTCCTCTCACTCTGCAGAACAGGGGTAGATCATACACACTCCACTTACTCTCACTCTGCAGAACAGGGGGAGATCATACAAACTCCACTCACACTCGCTCTGTAGAACAAGGGTATAACACACAAACGCCAAAGACGACGACCTGCACAGACTGCCAGCCCTCGCGTTTCTTGCCGAGCGGCACAAGTGTTACCTCCTCGGCGCCATACCGCCGCACGCCCATTTGTGATTAGAATGATTTATTGTGGCGATTGTTATTTATTTATTAATGATACCGCGCCCTTCACGCCAGGGCGTTTTGAGAGCCTCGATAATGAAATAATAAAGAAGTTAATTAATAAAAAATGAAATTTTATCTGTTGCATTTGCCGAAAGGAAATTAGATGGCACACGGAAGCCCGCGTCCCACAGACGGGTGGTTGGAATCGCGTGACAAACGTTCTGCCGACGTGGCAATCTGACCGCATGAGGTCAATGGTTATTCATAATATCGGTCGCGAAAAGCCCTCCAAGGTGTTGAATGTAAGAGTGCCGTTTGTTTCTGGCCGCTCGGTGTTTGTCAGATAGATGGGATTCCCTCCCGTCATCTCTTTCTCCCAATTCTTTCAATCACCTCGCCCGGATTGAACAACTTGCGTACGGTTCGTGTTTGTGAGGTGCTCGCTGACAGCACTTGCCCCAACAGTCCGTTGCAGGCTTTGTGGGGGAGCTTTGTCTTTGGGGTAGGGTGCTGGTCCCCCGACCCGTCCCAACCCTCGTGGACTTGGCCAGAGTGGAGAAGGTTCGTCTGCCAGCGGTCATGTGCCTCGTGACTATGTAGTGCTGTGTGCTGAACTTTTTCTCCACCATACATACGCAGGTAGCCAACCTGGCTAGTCGGGGGTGAGGGAGGGAGGGGAGGCAGAAATTTGGGGGGAAGTGAGGGGAGAGTGGAGGGGAAGGGAGGAGGCGGGGGCAGAGGCAGAGAGGCGGCTTCAGACAGGGGAGCGAGACGGATGAGGGAGTGTGGGAACGGGGGGGATGAGGTGAAGGGAAGGTGGAGAGAGAAGAACGTGTGAGGTTCCCGGGTTTTTAATGTCTCTCTTTGGAGGGGCGGGGTGGGGTCTTGATGGCTCTCGTACGGACGCTCGAGTGCGAACACAGCATGAGCAGCATGAGCGTGAAGTTGTCGCGTCGCCGTCGGGGGCACGTCTCCTTCTGGAGAGCGACGGTCGCCACTCGCGTCGCTCGGAGGGTCGAACGCCCGGAACGTGGCCGACGGTGACCACATGGGAAACGGACAAAACGACGTCCAGCGCGGCGAGCGAGCGTCTCGCCTCGCCCCCTCACCCCCTCACCCCCTCACCCCCTCATCACATCCCGATGACGTCACAACGTCGGCTCGTCGACGTTGTGACGTCATCGACAAACCGCACGTCCGGGTGGGGAAACGTTGTGGGATCAATCCGTGCGTGTGCGCCGATTTTCTTACTCGTTTCCTCCGCCCCGCCAGTTGCATTTCCACGGCGTCGTGCGGTTCTTGACGTTGCACGGCGAATGACTTTCACGTTCGTGTGACCATCGCGGCCGCCCGGTCGCTCGCGACCACCGCACCGCGAATCCGGCGACGCCGAGTGTTGAGTCCTGGCCGCTGTTCGCGTCGGTGGCGACTGATGCGTGAACTACTTGTGAGGTCCCTTCAGTTGCCTCTCACGGTGCCGCGGTCGTGCGCTCACCGCTGCCTGCAGAGGTTCACGGTTCGAATCCGGCGGCCGGCCTGCGTAGCGCTGAGACTCCCAGCGCTGGAATTTGTGGTCAAGTCCAGAGTTTGACTTGGATCTGTGTGTGGGGAGCGGTGGCACGGTGGTTAGCACATTGCGCTACGAACCCAGTTACCAGAGTTGGATTCCCGCTCACGACCAACATTGGTGACCATTATCTGCACCGGTCCTGGGCCTCCCCTAGGTCGATTCAGCCTCAAATGAGTGCCTGGTGCGGTGTGTATAAACTTCGCCACTAAGGAGTCAAAGACGCCCGGGCGTGGAGATGGCCACCCACCCCCTCGTGTACCGCGTCAGCTGTCATAGGTGCCACTCGCTAACAGCACTTGCCCCAACAGTCTGTTAAAGTATATAGGGGGATCTTTGTCTTTGCAGTTGTTGGTGCCCTACTCTTAAGGGTGTTGTTGTTGTTGAATCCCCTTTGTGGGGCGGTGGTGGCTACGCTGCACGGGGTCTGTGAACTCCCCACACTGGAGGCAGCAGCTAGGACCCGAACACAACTTGTGAAACTCCCTTCCCCTGGACTTCGAGGAAGTGCCATATCCCCTGGCTCGCCAGGAGAAGGCGGTGCAGCAGGTGGCGACTAAACTGCATCTGCGTCCATCTGTACGGGTATAGAACGTTGCCCCCCCAAAGACGACGTCAAAGATCCCCTGTATAACTTTAACAGACTGTTGGGGCAAGTGCTTTTTAGCGAGCTCCTATGAAGGCCGACACGCCAGTCGAGGGGGTGGGTGGCCAGCACCACGCCCGGCCACCTTTGTCATTTGAGGCTGAGTCCATCTAGTGGAGGCCCAGGGCCAGTTCAGATAATCGCCACTGGTGTTGGCCGTGAGTGGTAATCGAACCCGGGTCGCCAGGTTCATAGCGCAGCGTAGCGCTAACCGCCTCCCACCCACCTCCTCCCTCACGTTACGTGGATTCTCTCCGGGTGCTCTGGGTTCCCCCGGTTTCCCCCCCCCCCCCACGCGTGTTCTCACTAATTGGCCGATAGCACCTGAATGTATTCTCAATGTACGTACGTTGAACGTCTTTCGCACCGTACGTAGCCAACCGTGCCAATCGGAGGTGCGGATACATATCTCGAGGAGGGGGAATGTAGCGCCACGGCGCTGTCTGGCTGCCGCCGCCGCCACCTCCCCGCCCCTCCATGGTGCCTGCTGGCACCGACACGTCGCTGTCCGTCTCTGCGAGGGCTGAGTGATCGCTGTGTTGCGCAAAAATGAGAAAAGTTTTTTTATTAATATCCTTTCTGGCAATAAAGCAGCTGTCTCTGTGACTACTTGCATTGTCTTCATGCCGTTCCCCTTCAGGAGTTGTTCTCTGGTCCAGCACCGGTGAGACGAGGCTGTCTCTGGTGGAGGCCAATCCGTTTCAAAGACAATGCATCATGTATTGTTATCAGAGCATGTTTGAATGCACGTGTTTGGCACAAGTACTGTGTGTGCCTAATGTTGTCTTTTTGATGTCTGAACATCTTAACACAACTCCTGTTTTATTGCCAAAAAGGGTCAAACCTTTTAGTATTTTTTTTAAATAATTTTTTTTACCGGCATGAAGGTCGCACGGATGGTAACCAAAACGGATTCTTATTTTTCATAATTTTTGATGCTGGCAAAAGAAAGGTCCCAGAGATGTAACGGTGCTCCAAGTTGATGTGATGGGTTTTTTTTTTGCGCCAGGATGGAAATCCGAGGGATGTTCTGCATTTGATCTGTATCTGCATTTGTCATCAATATGCTAAATTCCTCTGTTGATATGTAAACTCCTTTGTCAAGGCTCTCTCCTCCTCCGACAACCCAGCTTAAAAATACGCTGCCAAGCTTAGCAGTGTTCATTAGGACGCTGTCTTTCCAACAGCCCTGTTCTTCACCTGAGGACGGCTGCTTGCATTGTGGCCGAAACGTCGTGAGAATTTTATCTTATTATGTAAAAAATGTATTATTTCATTATTTCTCTTCTACGTGACTTTACCGAAAGAACCAAGAATAAGAATGTGTTCTGCACTGGTGGTCTCCTCTGTGCTCTGACTCGGTATTAGCCCCTGGAGCCCACGGGGACTCCCCCTGTAAAAGTGAACGATGTCAGGCCATTTGAAGTGAGTGTTCGGGGTTATTGCATAATTAACTTTTTTTTTTAATACGCGGGGAGATTGAAGACCTTTATTGCCAGATAAAAGCCATTTGCTCCAGGAGTCTTTTAAAAAAAAAAGCACAGAGAGCAAAACATTGGATACGTAAGTAAATAATAATTGCACTGAATAAATAAACGAAAACGCCTCGTGTACAGGAGAGCTTGAGACTGGGATGTGGTTATTGATGTACAACACCAAACAAACGATGACTCCGACAGCGTCTACAGCGCCGCAACGGGTTAACGAGCGGTGCCACGAACCCGGCAAGCTCGGCTTCATTCCCGGCATGGCTAACAACATCTCTTGTCTCTGTGCTTGTTTGTGTGTGTGTGTGTGCGTTTGTGTGTGTGTGTGCGTGTGTGCGTGTGTGTGTGTGTGTGCGTGTGTGTATGTTTGTGCGTCTGCGCGTGTTTGTGTGTGCGTGTGTGTGCGTGCGTGTGTGTGTGTGTGCGTGTGTTTGTGTGTGTGTGTGCGTGCGTGTGTTTGTGTGTGTTTGTGTGTGTGTTTGTGTGTGTGTGTTTGCGTGTGTGCATGTGTGTGTGCGTGTTTGTGTGTGCGTGTGTTTGTGCGTGCGTGTGTGTGTGCGTTTGTGTGAGCGTGTGTATGCGTGTGCGTTTGTGTGTGTGTGTGCATGTGTGTGCGGGTGTGTGTGTTTGTGTGTGCGTGCGTGTGTTTGTGTGTGCGTGTGTTTGTGTGTGTGTGCGTGCGTGTGTGTGTGTGCGCGTGTATGTGTGCGTGTGTGTGCGTGTGTGTGCGTGTGTGTGTGTGCGCATGTATTTGTGTGTGTGTGCGTGCGTGCGTGTGTGTGTGTGCGCGTGTATGTGTGCGCGTGTATGTGTGCGTGTGTGTGTGCGTGTGTGTGTGCGCGTGTATGTGTGCGTGTATGTGTGCGTGCGTGTGTGTGTGTGCGCGTGTGTGTGTGTGTGCGTGTGTGTGTATGTGTGCGCGTGTGTGTGCGTGTGTGTGTGCGTGTGTGTGTGTGCGTGCGTGTGTGTGTGCTCGCAGCACCAAGGAGAACGTCGACCACCACCCCGAGCGGCGGATGAAGGCGGCGTACACGGCCTACGAGGAGCTGCACCTGCCGCGGCTGAAGAAGGAGAACCCCAACATGCGGCTGTCGCAGCTCAAGCAGGTGCTCAAGAAGGACTGGATGCGCTCGCCAGAGAACCCCATGAACCAGAAGCACGCCGCATACAACGTCAAGGCATAAGTTGGACCCCTCGACCCTCCCTCCCCCCACTCCCCTATCCCCCCACCCCCCGAGTCTCCCCCCCCTACCTCCTCTCTCTCTCCCCGTGGCCCCAACGCGCGGCCCCCGGCGAGGGATGAAGCTCCCTGCACGTGGGGGGGGGTGGGGGGGGCGGAACGCGCCGAGACCTCGACTGCGGCGTGAGAGACACCGCGCCGCCAGGGTGCCGGCGCTGGACCCGGGGAATTTCCAGCCCCTGGGGTTGAGGGTCATCGTATCCCTCGGCCACGACTTACATTGCTGTTAGAATCGCCTGGGGAGATTAACGACGGGAAGATGTAACCCCCCCCTCCCCTCCCCTCCCCTCCCCCACCCCGAAATAAATCGACGCTTTCTGTCTGACAAGTTGGGTCGAATATCGGGCGGTTTGGTCATGGGCTGACGATAACAGGAACCGCCATCAATCAGCCACCATCACCATCGTCGTCGTCATCATCATCCACCTACGCTGTCACCGTCCCTCGTACACAACACACAGGGCGCCACCTCCATTCTTGATTTGAAGCTTTCGTGACTGCAGGAATTACTCTTTGGTTCTTTCGGTAAAGTCGCGTCTATGTTGTGTGTCTCTCTCTGTGTGTCTATGTTGTGTGTCTCTCTCTGTATGTCTATGTGTGTGTCTCTATCTGTGTGTCTCTCTCTGCTTGTGTGTCTATGTTGTGTGTCTCTCTGTGTGTCTATGTTGTGTGTCTCTCTCTGTATGTCTCTGTGTGTGTCTCTCTCTGTGTGTCTCTGTGTTGTCTCTCTCTACTTGTGTGTCTGTCTGTGTGTCTCCGTGTCAGTGTTTTGTCTCTCTCTCAAATTTAGCACTCTTTGGAAAAACGTAATCAACCAGGTGGGGTGCCGACTGTTCTAAGTTTACTGGGTTTGTTTTCTACCTGATGACGGTTGCTTGTGTTGCTATCGAAATGTCGTATTCTATTATTTAATTTTTTTTCATTCTACTTGACTTTACTGAAAGAACCAAAGAATACCTCCATTCTTCTCCGTTGTCTGCTCGCTCTCCCATCTCACCTCACTCCACTCCCCTCCACGCACTCTCCTGCCTCTCCCATCTCATCTCGCTCCCCTCCACGCACTCTCCTGCCTCTCCCATCTCATCTCGCTCCCCTCCACGCATTCTCCCACGTCAATAGAATTAAAGTCGGGTTGGCCAAGTTCCTAGTGCAGCGGCTTGCGGACCGCTGCAGCAGCACCACCCCCATCGGCTCGCGTACGCCCCGCGTTACAAGAGCTCGTTGCTTTTTTGTGGGGGTGGGTAGGAGGGAGGGGGGGGGGGGGCTGTGTCTTGTGTCAAGTTCGGCTCGAGCGTGTAGCGCTCGAGCGAGCGACGACTCGACTCCTACGCCGAGGTTGCGAGATTCAAGTCCGCTTTGGCGCCCTCCAGCCCCTGCCCGTCGCGTGGGCGGTTGCGAGTCGCAAGCCGCTCGTGCGACGCTGATTTCGGGGGCGTCGCGGGCGAGCGGCGGGGGGGGGGGCTGGTGGGGTGGGGGGGGGGGGCTGGTGAGGCGGGGTGGGGGGGCTGAACTAACGACGACGGTCGGAGATTAGAATTTAAAACGAACAGCTCAACTGGTTGTTATTCTACCAGGTGTGAGGCCCATTGAGCTACGGAGCCCTTTGTCGGACGCGACCTGGCCGCAAATGAGAGCTCAACGAGAAGTGGCTTATCGCGTGAAAATTTATGGCAGCAGCCAAATGCTCCGAAATCGCGTTTCTGAATCCTGTCGCCCGATCCCGCAGGGCTTTGGCGTCATGTCCGAGCGGAGGTGCTTTCTCCGAATCCGAGCAGGTTCTCCCCGCCGCAGGTTTGCGGTGGCCGTTCTCGGCACTTTTGAAATGTTGGGGGCAGCAACGAGATACTTGTGGATTTATTTTATTTAAAGAAAATTTAAGGAACTAAAAATGTATTCCCAACGACACAAGCTGATGGTGCGGTTTTTTTTATTTCACTGGGCGCCCCTGGTCTGGCTTCCTCCCACGGAAATTGTGCCGGTTTATTTGTTTTTTTATTCTCCCTTTGTGAAAGCTTTCTGTCGGATGAGCCAAGCCTGGCTCGTACGGACAGCACCCATCGTCTTGATTCCCTTTTCATTGGACTTGGCACTTTCATAAATGGTGGTTCCAAACAATGCCATGGCGTTTGTAATATTTGATATTGTTTCTTAACTGCCACTGCCCGCCAAAGGACGTGCAGTACTTTGCACAATCACTGGCTCGCCAAATTTACGCCTTCATGTTTCAATTGCTCAAGGTTGTCGTGGTTGGGTTGTTCTGGGGGGGGGGGGGGGGGGGGTGGTGTGGGGGGGGAGGTGATGGGGCGGAGGGGTTGGTGGGTGGTTCTAGACCCCAAGGCAGCACCGCCGAGTTCCCTGGGTTCGAATCCGTGGTTCAGCCGCCCGGCCAGACTACCACAACAAGCACAGCTAGCTTCCTGCCCTCGCGTGCGATCGTATTTGATTTCTCCGCCGATGCACGAGCAGCATCTTGCCGCACCGTGTCCCCCGATCCCAGCCGGCGCTCGGCGCTCCTTGCGGGACTCCGGCTTCCCCGCATTCACCGATGTGGTGGTGGGGGCTGGCGGGACGTGGTGGGGGCTGGGGGGACGTGGTGGGGGCTGGGGGAGGTGTCTGCCGGTGGCTGGGCGCGAGGATCGGGTGACACGGAATTAGAAGACCCAAATCCTCCTGCCGCCGAGTGGCGATCCGGTTGGATCCTGGGTGCAGGTGGATCAGGGCGCAGCTGCCTCGCAGGCTGCGCCGCGATCCTCCTCAAACACGAGAAGCGCTTTGCCAACGTCGGCGGCGAGACCACAACACGCGGCTGGCGGGGGCGGCGATGGTGATGGTGGTCATAATAAAAACACGACGAACGCCCCGTGCGGATTACATGCCGCTTCTGTCTCCCCGGCTGTGTTTGTGTTGCGCTGACGGCCGCGGATTCACTGTGACCCCCCCCCCTCCCCGGTGGTCGTGTTTCGTGCAGCGAGTCTGGGGGTGTCTCTGGTGGTGTCGTCGTTTTTTTTCCTATTTGGGTGAAAGTCTCCCATTGATCAATTGTTCCGGGGCCGCCTCATGTCGTCTTTCTCCATGGCCCTCTCGTTCCGTGCCTCTTCCCTCGTCACATCCACGCTCCTTCCAGAGCTGTGGGCTGACATGGAGAGACCTATGGGCCTGTTTACAGACTTGCGTCCAGACCTGTAGGTTTGCATCCAGACCTGTACACTTACATCCAGACCTGTACACTTACATCCAGACCTGTAAACTTACATCCAGACCTGTAAACTTACATCCAGACCTGTTAACTTACATCCAGACCTGTACACTTACATCCAGACCTGTAAACTTACATCCAGACCTGTAAACTTACATCCAGACCTGTAAACTTACATCCAGACCTGTAAACTTACATCCAGACCTGTAAACTTACATCCAGACCTGTAAACTTACATCCAGACCTGTAAACTTACATCCAGACCTGTAAACTTACATCCAGACCTGTTAACTTACATCCAGACTTGTAAACTTACATCCAGACCTGTAAACTTAAATCCAGACCTGTACACTTACATCCAGACCTGTAAACTTACATCCAGACCTGTAAACTTACATCCAGACCTGTAAACTTACATCCAGACCTGTAAACTTACATCCAGACCAGTTAACTTACATCCAGACCTGTTAACTTACATCCAGACCTGTAAACTTACATCCAGACCTGTAAACTTACATCCAGACCTGTACACTTACATCCAGACCTGTTAACTTACATCGAGACCTGTACACTTACATCCAGACCTGTAAACTTACATCCAGACCTGTAAACTTACATCCAGACCTGTACACTTACATCCAGACCTGTTAACTTACATCCAGACCTGTAAACTTACATCCAGACCTGTAAACTTACATCCAGACCTGTTAACTTACATCCAGACTTGTAAACTTACATCCAGACCTGTAAACTTACACCCAGACCTGTTAACTTACATCGAGACCTGTACACTTACATCCAGACCTGTAAACTTACATCCAGACCTGTAAACTTACATCCAGACCTGTACACTTACATCCAGACCTGTACACTTACATCCAGACCTGTAAACTTACATCCAGACCTGTACACTTACATCCAGACCTGTAAACTTACATCCAGACCTGTACACTTACATCCAGACCTGTACACTTACATCCAGACCTGTAAACTTACATCCAGACCTGTACACTTACATCCAGACCTGTTAACTTACATCCAGACCTGTACACTTACATCCAGACCTGTTAACTTACATCCAGACCTGTACACTTACATCCAGACCTGTAAACTTACATCGAGACCTTTCGACTTACGGAGAGAACTATGAGCCTTAATTCTAGATTTGAAGCTTTTGTGACTGCAATGATTCATACTCTTTGTTTTCGGTAAAGTGACGTAGGTAAAAAATGTAATTAAATAATTGAAAAAACAACTAAATTGAATCGTTTAATTTAGTTGTCTTTTTAATTTCATTAATTATTTTTTTTTACCTACGTGACTTTACCGAAAAAACAAAAGAGTATGAATCGATGGGCCTGTTTACAGACCTGCGTGCAGACCTGTAGGCTTACGTAAAGACCTATAGACTTGATAATAATGTTTTCTGGGTGAGATCGCGATATTATAAATGTGTTGCAACCCTGCACCACCCGACACGGCCAATTGGTCAAAAATGTCACGTTAACGCCGATTGGTTATTTTTTTTCTCCCCCCCCCCCCCCTGCAGCCGACCTCTCCAGTGCTGCCACGGTGGCCCACTCTACCCCAGTGTGTAGTGGGTGTCCCACTCTACTCCAGTGTGTAGTGGGTGACCCACTCTACCCCAGTGTGTAGTGGGTGGCCCACTCTACCCCAGTGTGTAGTGGGTGTCCCACTCTACCCCAGTGTGTAGTGGGTGTCCCACTCTACTCCAGTGTGTAGTGGGTGACCCACTCTACCCCAGTGTGTAGTGGGTGTCTCACTCTACCCCAGTTTGTAGTGGGTGTCCCACTCTACTCCAGTGTGTAGTGGGTGACCCACTCTACCCCAGTGTGTAGTGGGTGTCTCACTCTACCCCAGTTTGTAGTGGGTGACCCACTCTACCCCAGTGTGTAGTGGGTGTCTCACTCTACCCCAGTGTGTAGTGGGTGTCCCACTCTACTCCAGTGTGTAGTGGGTGGCCCACTCCAGTGTGTAGTGGGTGACCCACTCTACCCCAGTGTGTAGTGGGTGTCCCACTCTACCCCAGTTTGTAGTGGGTGTCCCACTCTACTCAAGTGTGTAGTGGGTGACCCACTCTACGCCAGTGTGTAGTGGGTGTCCCACTCTACCTCAGTGTGTAGTGGGTGGCCCACTCTACCCCAGTGTGTAGTGGGTGTCCCACTCTACCCCAGTGTGTAGTGGGTGTCCCACTCTACTCCAGTGTGTAGTGGGTGGCCCACTCTACCCCAGTGTGTAGTGGGTGGCCCACTCTACCCCAGTGTGTCGTGAGTGGCCCACTCTACTCCAGTGTGTAGTGGGTGTCCCACTCTACCCCAGTGTGTAGTGGGTGACCCACTCTACCCCAGTGTGTAGTGGGTGACCCACTCTACCCCAGTGTGTAGTGGGTGTCCCACTCTACCTCAGTGTGTAGTGGGTGGCCCACTCTACCCCAGTGTGTCGTGAGTGGCCCACTCTACTCCAGTGTGTAGTGGGTGTCCCACTCTACCCCAGTGTGTAGTGGGTGACCCACTCTACCCCAGTGTGTAGTGGGTGACCCACTCTACCCCAGTGTGTAGTGGGTGTCCCACTCTACCTCAGTGTGTAGTGGGTGGCCCACTCTACCCCAGTGTGTAGTGGGTGTCCCACTCTACCCCAGTGTGTCGTGAGTGGCCCACTCTACTCCAGTGTGTAGTGGGTGTCCCACTCTACTCCAGTGTGTAGTGGATGGCCCACTCTACTCCAGTGTGTAGTGGGTGTCCCACTCTACCCCAGTGTGTCGTGAGTGGCCCACTCTACTCCAGTGTGTAGTGGGTGGCGCACTCTACTCCAGTGTGTAGTGGGTGTCCCACTCTACCCCAGTGTGTCGTGAGTGGTCCACTCTACTCCAGTGTGTAGTGGGTGTCCCACTCTACCCCAGTGTGTAGTGGGTGACCCACTCTACCCCAGTGTGTAGTGGGTGACCCACTCTACCCCAGTGTGTAGTAGGTGTCCCACTCTACCTCAGTGTGTAGTGGGTGGCCCACTCTACCCCAGTGTGTCGTGAGTGGCCCACTCTACTCCAGTGTGTAGTGGGTGTCCCACTCTACCCCAGTGTGTAGTGGGTGACCCACTCTACCCCAGTGTGTAGTGGGTGACCCACTCTACCCCAGTGTGTAGTGGGTGTCCCACTCTACCTCAGTGTGTAGTGGGTGGCCCACTCTACCCCAGTGTGTAGTGGGTGTCCCACTCTACCCCAGTGTGTCGTGAGTGGCCCACTCTACTCCAGTGTGTAGTGGGTGTCCCACTCTACTCCAGTGTGTAGTGGATGGCCCACTCTACTCCAGTGTGTAGTGGGTGTCCCACTCTACCCCAGTGTGTCGTGAGTGGCCCACTCTACTCCAGTGTGTAGTGGGTGGCGCACTCTACTCCAGTGTGTAGTGGGTGTCCCACTCTACCCCAGTGTGTCGTGAGTGGTCCACTCTACTCCAGTGTGTAGTGGGTGTCCCACTCTACCCCAGTGTGTAGTGGGTGGCCCACTCTACCCCAGTGTGTAGTGGGTGGCCCACTCTACTCCAGTGTGTAGTGGGTGTCCCACTCTACCCCAGTGTGTCGTGAGTGGCCCACTCTACTCCAGTGTGTAGTGGGTGTCCCACTCTACCCCAGTGTGTAGTGGGTGTCCCACTCTACTCCAGTGTGTAGTGGGTGTCCCACTCTACTCCAGTGTGTAGTGGGTGGCCCACTCTACCCCAGTGTGTAGTGGGTGGCCCACTCTACCCCAGTGTGTAGTGGGTGTCCCACTCTACTCCAGTGTGTAGTGGGTGTCCCACTCTACTCCATTGTGTAGTGGGTGTCCCACTCTACTCCAGTGTGTAGTGGGTGACCCACTAAACCCCAGTGTGTAGTGGGCGGCCCACTCCAGTGTGTAGTGGGTGACCCACTCTACCCCAGTGTGTAGTGGGTGTCCCACTCTACCCCAGTTTGTAGTGGGTGTCCCACTCTACTCAAGTGTGTAGTGGGTGACCCACTCTACGCCAGTGTGTAGTGGGTGTCCCACTCTACCTCAGTGTGTAGTGGGTGGCCCACTCTACCCCAGTGTGTAGTGGGTGTCCCACTCTACTCCAGTGTGTAGTGGGTGGCCCACTCTACTCCAGTGTGTAGTGGGTGACCCACTCTACCCCAGTGTGTAGTGGGTGTCCCACTCTACCCCAGTATGTAGTGGGTGTCCCACTCTACTCCAGTGTGTAGTGGGTGGCCCACTCTACCCCAGTGTGTAGTGGGTGGCCCACTCTACCCCAGTGTGTCGTGAGTGGCCCACTCTACTCCAGTGTGTAGTGGGTGTCCCACTCTACCCCAGTGTGTAGTGGGTGACCCACTCTACCCCAGTGTGTAGTGGGTGACCCACTCTACCCCAGTGTGTAGTGGGTGTCCCACTCTACCTCAGTGTGTAGTGGGTGGCCCACTCTACCCCAGTGTGTCGTGAGTGGCCCACTCTACTCCAGTGTGTAGTGGGTGTCCCACTCTACCCCAGTGTGTAGTGGGTGACCCACTCTACCCCAGTGTGTAGTGGGTGACCCACTCTACCCCAGTGTGTAGTGGGTGTCCCACTCTACCTCAGTGTGTAGTGGGTGGCCCACTCTACCCCAGTGTGTAGTGCGTGTCCCACTCTACCCCAGTGTGTCGTGAGTGGCCCACTCTACTCC